TTCACCACTGCCATTACATACAAATCCGGGTGGATCATATTCAAGAAGAGGACGAGGCCTGCGAATGGAGGAAAATGAAATCTGCCCCTTAGCATCAACATGGAGATGAGGCTGTGACTCTGTGCTATTACGTGACCGTGAAGGTTGCTCCTTGTTTGGACAAAAACGATATTTTGACCTCGACTCAGCTGCTTTCTTTGCAAGCCGAGCTTGGTGATAATAATCGTCCACATACGGATCATTGCCATGTGTTGCGGGATGCTGCATTTTCAGGATGCTCTCTATTTCATCACCAGTCATGTACTTAGATCTGAACTTGGAAACATTACTCTCACTTTTTTGGCTACCAGCTTCAGAGGCTTGTTGAGAAAAGCGCACATTCTGTCTACCTTTATTTGATGACTTAGATCTTGAATCTCTCGAATCAGCCGATCCATACTTACCCAGATGGGAAGGTGAAGGAAAGGAATTAAATTGGGAACGCAGTGCAGAAAAATGAGCTAAAGATGGTTGAACTGAAGGATGCAATCTCTGCTGCTGTAGCTGCCGGGGGGACATTAACTGAGGGGACAATAACCCATTCTGAGGAATTTGATGTGGAGATATACTATTTAAGAGGCTAGAATGATCCCCATGGATGAGACCGGCATGACTAATCCAGTGGTTTTGCAGCCGGGTATTGAGAGAATGACCCGTAGGGGTCCACTGTGGCATGTTTCCACCGTAGTGGAGCCCATGAGACAAGCCTGCTAAATGGATATTAGGATTTGACAAAGTGGGGAGATTGGCAGTTGAATAGGGAGACTGAGGTCCAGCAGCAAGAGATGGCATACTTTGATGATGCAATAGGTTGTGTGGTGAGGCTTGCNGATATTAGGATTTGACAAAGTGGGGAGATTGGCAGTTGACTAGGGAGACTGAGGTCCGGCAGCAAGAGATGGCATACTTTGATGATGCAATAGGCTGTGTGGTGAGGCTTGTTGAGATCTGCCACCAGGAGGAGGGAGAGAAGTGTAAGATGCCTTTGGCACTAAAATGGGTTCGCTTGAGAAGCGTTGAAGTTGTTGGGGTTGCTCAGGGTAGGAGGATGTTCTATACAACGGTTTTGACTCTGCATGATGCACAGGAGAGAAATGTGTCTGTGAAGACCATCTTTTGCTATCCTGGTAACATTCAGTGTCAGACAAATGCTGATCAAACCAATCAGTAAAATCAGTTTCCTTTGCCCATTCAGCTGCCGACGAACCTGCAAACAACTTCTGTCAATCAAAGAGACCAACATGGTAAGGTCATCATAAGAATGACAATAATGAATTATAGATCTAATATGGCATATATTACAATGGCAAATCAAATTTTCCTTAGATACAAGAGTCTCCTACAGATTTCCTGTAATAGTTGAACATGCAAAACTGAAAAGATGCATGCCTGACCCCAAAAAGAAGAAGAAAGATGGTAGGGAAATAGTGAAGGATTTAAAGGCCTTCAGATTTACAGTTAGCACCAAAAAGACCAAAACTGAAAAGAAAGGGCGAACTCTCAGCCCTGAGCAGCGCAACCAATTTTAGTTTCCAAAGGTATGAGTCAAGCGCCTATGTATGATATCTCAGAATTTACAGAACTTGGACTATGCCCAAATTTGCAGGGGCAGATAGAGCGATTAGGGGAATAAAATTTCTTTTACAGAGTACAACAGATATAATTAACAAGGAAAATCGTAGTGAATATCACTCAGCCAATAGTCGAAGAGATTTCTTTAAAATAAAACAGCAACATCAGATGCTGACACAAGATGAATCAACATGTGCACTTACTTTCCCTAGAAAAAGATCCTGATCCACGATCTCCAATAACTCCAGGATGCCTAGGTCCTGTGACGTTTCTGTTCAACTGGAGAAAGAAAGACAATCATGTAAGCCTCAAGAAAGATTATGTAAGGACACACCATCAAGATCATTATAACATACTCAACTGTGCAATGTGCAAGAAAGATCGGAAGGTAAATCCCAAAAACTATGTGAAGCAAAATTTTAAGGTAGTACACATCAAAAAATTAAGTATTATTTCAGGAATAGCATATCACACTAATGCCAATCAGGGACATGAAAACTAAGTAGACAAGGAAAAGAAAATTATTAGCTGCAACTCCTATTAATGTATGAAAGGCACTGTTTCCTTCAACTCCTATTAACTGGTTGCAACATTACATCAATTCATTAGCCCCTATAAAGTCACGAAACTAATCAGATTCATCAGGCAGAAGATCTTCACTGCTCTACAGAGCAGATGCTGCTAAAAAATTCACAAGCCACAGTTTTTTTCTAAATGATGATCAAGTAAAATATAATTTTGTTGATAATGGCAAAGCTCCCATATACAAGGGGTACACCAAAAAGTAGAGAACCACCATGCATGACACCTATCTTCTTCACAAGCTATGCTGTGCGGACTCTCTAAAATGTTGTTGCACCCATGTCGAATCCTCCAAAAATATACTACTTTTGGAGGATCCGACACGCATCCGGCCACATTTTGCGGGAAAGTCCGAGCAACATAGTTTACAAGTAGGAACCACATGGATGCACCAAAAAGACATTAAAAACAGGGGTTATTGTTCTCCAGATGTACAAAATTAAGCTCTTTGTCCTTCAAAAGCTCTCCTATTTATTTTCCTCCATACTATCCACATAAGTGCTAATGAGCAACATCCCACACCTGGTGTCTTCTCTTCTTTCCTTTAAAGGCCGAACTAGATTATGCATCCTTCACAATACCCCGCATGATCCATTGAGTCTGAACCATCTAAAGCTCCCACCACAGACATGATGCTACCGACCAATTTAGTACGAGATGATCCATGTCCTCTTCTGAGTGTCTACACATGAATGAAGCACTAACTAGCATATGTGATCCTCCTCTTCCTCAAATTTTTGGCTATTAGAACCGCGCCACTAGCAGGCAGCCAAATGAAAAAACATACTCCCTCTGTTCCACAATAAGTGGCCAATTTGCTTTTTTATTTTAGTCCAAAATAAGTGTCCATTTATATAATCAAGAAAAATTCAATTTGTTTTTCCAAAATTACCCTTATGTACGTATCCCTAAAAAGTCTTTTACTCCTCACATTAATTATGCTGCAACATTTAATTAATGGTAGTTTAGTCACACTAACTATTTTTATCTAGAATTTAGTATTTTCTTAATGGGTGTGCCCAAAGCAAATTGGTCACTTATTGTGGACCGGAGGGAGTACCTTTTTTGGCACCATAGAATCCAAACCCAGTGGATAAGAAAACCTGACTTCTCTCTAACTAGCAACTCACAGTAGTAACTCTAGACGTCCACTACTTCCTAGCACCCATCTTTAAGAATTATGACTCTCTACCAGTAATGTTTGTATAAAGAGCATTTCCAGCAAAATCCGTATCCTGAAAATTCTTTCGTAAGTTTGAGATCCCAAATTACACTTCCACTCATGTAAATCTCCCAACTTGTTGAACAATTATCTCTTTTTCAAGAAATACTTAGATATTTGTGAAAGTAATCCTCAACATGTTGTCCCCCCAAAAACTAACCTTGTGCGTTCCATAACCTGAATGAGATACAACCACCACACTCTTCTCCATCTTTTTATAATATCTCACCAGAGCCTCCTTATCAAAAAATATCTCTCCAGAGGCTCCTTATCAAAAAGTATCTCTCCAGTGGCTGTACCAAAAAGGAACATTGGTGTTTTTGGTCATCCACCCCCTTCCATGGTGCCATATTTTTTCGCTATCACATCTCCTCTGTTCCAAATCTCCACAACCACTTCCCTAACACGGCCTTGTTAACGACGGGAGAGTTTTTACCCCCAGTGTTATCAAAGGAGCGCCTTAAGCCCTGAAACGAGGCTCAAAACATGTTGAGCTCTTCACCTCGCTTAGGGAGCGCTTCGATATTCTCATCAAGACTCTAAGACATACTTTTGCTTACCAATGAGCATAATCCTAAAGAGGCGACAATAAACAATTGATATTTTATTTTATCGTAAATTTTCTTCAATTTCTTTGTCCATATATTTGGTATTCATGCTTATAGATGTTAGTCTTGGACTACACATATATTTTGTAGTTATTCTCCATTTGCGCATTTCTTCATTAAGCCTCACGCTTCATTTGCGCTTTGCGCAAAAGCCCCACCAGACCTTAGAGTTATTTTGCGCTTTTCGCCTTTGATAACACTATTTACCCCTAGCGCTCCCCCACCTTTTGGAGGTCATACCAACTTCTCAACTAAGTGAAATTTTCTTGCCCTATAGACGGAGTCCCGCTGGATGTTCCTCTGTAGTTTTTCAGTTTCTCTGTCACGCTAGCAAGTACTAGTGGGGACACGAAATAAGTGGGAAACTTCGATATAGTGATTTTAGTTAATACTTCCTGTCCCTTTTGAGAATATCTTTTCTCCATCCTGCAAGTCTTTTCTCTACCTTTTTACTACCGGATTCCACATTGTTGTGTCTTTGTTTAATGAACTAAAAGACAGACCAAGATAAGTGGTTAGGAGGGCTCCAATCCTATAGTTGATTACGTGTTATAGACTATCAGAATTATCCACTTCACCAACTAGATGATGATTTCTCAAGGCTTCTGATGGTTCTTGTTGGCATCGCAAAATATTAGCCTCGTCTGCAAATAAGCAGTGTGTAACTCTGACAATGCCTTGACCCCCGCAGTTGAGAAACCCCTCAATTATCCACTTAGCACAACTCTATCCATCATTTTACTCAACGGTTTCATAACCATTATAAATAGTATGGGCAATAATACATCTCCTTATCTTAGGTCTATCGAGCTACCAAATCTAATCCACTTCCTCCACCTATCACCGAATCTCATTCTCAATATAAAGAAATCAAGAAATCCCAATTGATATAATCGTACGTGATACGCTTTCTTGAGGTCCAGCTAGCAAAATATACCAAGTTCTTCCACCTTCCTTATGTATCTACTACTTCATTTGCCACCTACGTAGTGTCTAAGATCTGTCTTCCTTCCACAAAAGCATTCTACGAGGTAGACGCTGTCTCATCCAGCACATTGTTTAGTCCATCAGAGAGTACCCCGGGGATTATCTTATAGATGTTTCCCACTAGACTAATATGTCTTTAATTTTGATGCACGTGGTTATCTCCTTTGAATATTAACCAATTACATTAGACATAAGTAACTCGCATTTCTATCCGGAATCAAGAAAAGATAAAGTTAAAATAGCATGACCAGGTATTATAATGAAAACCACCAATTAAAAAGGTACATCATGGGCTGACCTTTGAAAATGTAGTTGCCAGATCATCTATGTCGGATAAAGACCCCAAAGCTGATCCCTGGAGATAAAGCAGTAAATTATTAGTTTAATAAAGCAGACTACACTACAGTATATCAGCAACTCATCAAAGTAATAGATAAATACAGTATACACACACCACCAAGGACACAAATTCACAAGGGATGGTACCAACATTATCTAGAGATCACACATAAACTGAATGCAAAGAAAATGAGAGAAAATAGCAAATTCCTGAGCCAGAAGAACAAAAAGTGGGAAAACAGATATTCTAACAGTTAATTGACAATGACATCACCAGACTCTCCAGCTAAGCTTACTGATAAAATTCACAAACCAAATCAATAAAAGGGAAACATGCAGTTATTTTCTTCAAGTTAGATCTAAACACCAATCTTAAAACATCTACTATCACACTCAGCATATTTAGCCTATATTTTTAGTAGAAAGAAAATTTAGTTCCGTAAGGGTAGCGTCCACAAACCTAATCAGAGTGAAGCTAAAAGACCCACATGCCTTCTACCACCCTTTGCCACTTCCTAGCTACCACTTCCCTAAACGGNGGGGGGGGGTGTCTTAGGACCCTTAGGTGAGAAAGCAAAGAATGTTGCCTTTTTGGCATATTCCATAATCTACATATCTAGGACAAGCAAAAGCAAACAATATGAATGTGTCACTACTATATATGATATGACGCAGTTTCATGATCTAACAAGCATGAGAACCTATAGTTAATAACACTAAAGAAGAAAAAAAGAGTATCTTTAGTATTTCCTTAATAGAAGGAGCAGATGCCCAGTTCATTTATTTCCTCTTTTTCTCTTCATTCTAGATAAAGATACAGAACAAATGTCCCCCAAGCAAGAAACAATTAATACATAAAAACAAGTATGACACAGTTCAACAAACAAATCATGTACGTCCTCATCTTTTTCAAACAAAGAATGTAAAGCTTAAAAGTAAAAATAAAAGAATGTACCTCATCTTTTTCAAACAAATGGTACTCCTGTACATCCTCGTCACCAAATCCACCATCCACCGAGGGAACACAACTGTTTCCTTCTTCGTCTAGGCCCCCCAATTCGACTTCCTCTCCTATATCTCGTCCAAAAAATGCATACTGTGATGCATCAAAATGCGCACTATCTGCATCAAAACACAACAAGAAACGTCAGTATTTATACACCCTTTTCACATTAAAAAATAAACAAGTTCTTTCTTCTACCAAACTAATCACTCCCACTCTCCTCTTTAGTAGTATATCACATAAAGAATGATACATTTCTATATTAAGAAATAATTTAACTTTAAACATTCATTTTACCCTTAATGAGATTAGTTCATAGCCACACAAATATCTGTGACTTGGTTTAGACCATAAGTTTCAACAACATTTTCTTTCTTTCTTAAACTCCGTGCAAAGACGGATCCATAATTTGAAGCTTATGAATTCCTAAAGTGACTTCAATTTAATACTACAATATAACTAGATTCACAATCAAATATTTATAAATTTTTAGTAGATTTTTTAATACATACACAGGGTGTGGGCAAAAGCAAGCTACTGGGTTCACGCGAACACATCTATTACATGCTCAGTCAAACACCATCACAAAAAATGGGACAGAAGGAGTACAAAAGTAAAACATGGAAACCCAAATAAAATCAAACAGTAATTTCAATGAAAATCACACAATTTATAAACAAAAAAACAAGCCGTGCAGTGAGCTGACCGGAGATGGAGCTAGAGGAGTGGGACAAGTCCATGGAATCTTTGCCATCAGATCTCTCCATAATTTACGAAATTAAGAAATGGAAACCCTAACAAAACTAAACATGTAATTCGACTGAATTAAAAAGCCCTGCTTGTTATAAAAAAAAATGAGGTTTTTTTAGGGCTTTTGAAGAAATGGAGAAGATTGAGAGAGCAGAAGATGAGGAGAAGAAGAGAGACACATAGCGTGAGTATGAATATTACGTGTTTGGTTTAGTGTGTGTCTGTGTGTGCGTGTAAGGTGAAGAAAGAGACGGGAGACTTCTTCTTTTGTTTCGCCGAAAGTGAGAGAGAGAGACAGAGAGAAGACCGAGGGAGGACTTATGGGATAAGCTAAAATTATGTTATTTTTAATTACCGAATACACTTTTTTCTTTTATAAATATTAATAAATTTTTTATGCATATACAAGATTTGAACAAAAGTTAATGGATTCTGGTACCCGCATTATTGCCTCTTGATCCGCCACTAGAATTCGCAGTTGCTACCCTTCACGTACGCTAAAATATGTTTTTCATCTAATAGCTTACAAATTATATAAGAGGATAAATCGCATTAGGTAAATTCCATGCGATAGGCACCTATACCTTCCATTTGGGAAGTCATCTACTCAACCAACTCGACCACACTAAAAAGTTTATTTTTTCTATTATAACATTGATATTTGAGCTACTTCATTCTATTATTTCATTAGTTTCCGGTGCATCTTGTTATCTTCTACATATATGTAAATCGAAAAATTATACCCATTGATCTTAAAAATAAATTATTGATTATAGTTTATATCGTGGGCAAATCTTTAAGGTCAAAAGTTAAAAGTATTGTCCATGGAGCAAGTGACGGCAATAGTTGTTAAACGTGAAGTCCTACCCATAAGATAAATGTGGCCAAAAAATCAATAGTAATACCGAACCGAAATATCCTACTTATGCTAATCACCAGATGAATAATTCTTACCTATCAAAATTTATTTTGTTTGGATCTACCTTCAATCGTCATGCAGCAAGTTCTTTTGTAATGACTACTCTTTATTTTATTTTTTTGATAATACATTATCCCGCTTTTCTCAACCAAAAAAAAAGGAAAGGAAAGCAATCACTTAATGTTTTTTTTTTAGAATTATTTAGAGCATGATCTTCAAAGTTAACACTTATTTTATTGATAATTAAGTCATACTATATGTTAGAGCTCGTTTGGTACTAAGGATAAGGAATAACTAATCCCGAAACTAAATTTAAGAAAATATTTCATGTTTAGTTGGTAAAAAACTGCGGTATAATTAATCCTGGGACTAGTTATTTCCGGATTGTAGTATTTTTTTATCCTATGGAAAAATAGAATAACTAATCTCGGGACAATTAATCCTGGGATAACTTCTTTCCAACCAAACGATCTCTTGGTGTTTTTTCTTTTTTTTGAGATAGGCATTTAGATTAATTCATGAAATATGTGTTATCTTGCATTTGTACATTAACAAATAACAAGTTCAAGTTAGACAGATTATATCACTTACAAGACAAGCTTAATTGTCTGAAGTAGCAAATCTTTTAATTTAATTTAAATATGAACGGAATAATATAAACAAAAAACGATCAGCATCTAGCTCATCCCGATCACAAGAAGAGGTTCATTACGATGGGGGTATATTTTTTCCCCTTAAGGAAAAATGAAATGCATAGGAGACCATCCTTTTGTTGCGGTATGCTCCTCAGATTTATGGATACTCAGCTTCGCAAGCCTTTGTCATTGTCAGTCAACTAAGTAGGGCCTTTTCCTTTTTGTTTGATTAACCCGTTCTTATTATCTTTAATTATTTCAGCTGAGACTATACTAAATCAAAGATGATTTATTACTGAAACATTCTGATTTATTAAAATAACAAAAACGTGTATTGTGTTTCACAACTTTAAAGCTTAAGTTCAAGTTGCTTTTAAATTTTCAAATTATTAGCTAAAGTATTGGCTCATAACAATTGTTGATGGCGAAAGGTGATTTGTGAAAGTCGGTCCACAATAATGAAAGTACAACTTGAACCAAAAAAGAAAGTACAACTGATCATTGCTTATGGATCAAAAACCACTTCCTGCTTTTTAAATTCTTTTTTGGCTACATTCAATTCAAGATTTTTACAATCTTTCACTTGAAGACTACTCTAACTAATCATGTCAAATTAAAAAAGACGATTCGTATATAGTTGCGAGTCAGAATATTTTTTAAGAAGAGTCAACGTAAAAGATAAATATACGAAAAAGTCAAGAAGGTTCATCGTATAGTATATGTACATGAATATTTAGTTTTACCTCTCAACATAGTGTAATAGTATTAATTAAAAAGGATAACTTTGTCACTGTTTATGTACGTTGTATGTTTCTTGTAGGCACGAGCATATGCGGAGTTTTTCGCAAGCGGTGTCGATAATTAAAAAAATATACTCAAGGTTAGTCTATACTTTATAGGCATAGGATTATGTAATTACTATAATTTGGTTCCCGACAGGTACGGATGTATAACATGAACTACGAATTTGATCGAACCTAATAGTTTTAACTACAACTCTATATTAATATACATTAAAAAAAATATATATGTACAAATATTAAATTTCAAACCTCAAACCGGTCATCATAGGTTAGCACTACACGTAATTCCTTTGCTCCGCACATCACGGACAAAATCACAGAGCAATATTCGGTGGCAGATGGGAAGCACATGATGCATTAATGTTGAGAGCAAATAGTTAGGATTATTATATATTATCAAAAATCACAGGAACCTTTGCTGTGTTTCTTATTAATGGACAAATTAAATTATGCGTTTGAGGGAATACATTAAATACATTAATATACTATATTTATTTTAGCTAGTTGACTGACTTTGTTCACTTTATTACTTTATTGTTGTTACTGTTTCTTATTTTATTTTCATCGTTTCTTGAGTCAAGGATCTATCGAAAATAACATCTCTATCTTTATAAGGTAGTGATAATATTTGCGTACACGTTACCTTTCCAGACTCCACATATAAAATTACACTAGATTTATTATTGTTGTTGTTGACCAGACTTAGTTAAGTTTTGTTGTTTTGTTTGAGCTCAAAGCTCAATGGAACAACGCAATGTAAACATTGGTGTACACATAATTTTAATATTTTATATAACTGGTGTCAGTCTATTTTCACAATTCAGCTTGCAAGTGACTCTAAATATTGATATGTAATGGTTTTAAAACTTTGTTACTTTCTGTCTACAAATTAATATTTAGTTTGTATTATTTTCAATTCGTGACAGAAGTACATTTGTTCTTTACAAGGTTATTCAAAAACTAAGCCAGCAAGCTGAATATTTTCATCAAGTTTCGACAAGCATGAATGATGTTGAAGCAATGGCGGATTTAGGATTTCAAGAAGATGGATTCATCACTACCTTAATGATAAATATCGTTTTGATAATACAAAATATTACCAGGGGCAGCTCAATAAGTTTGGTGGCCTAAAGCCAAACTTTAATGTGATGCCCTTTTAAAAAATTATATATATTTTTAGTTGAAGTAGATTTTTCTAGTCTTTTGAGAATAAAATTACATAAAAAATTTCACATAAACCATTTAGTATCTCATGTGCAGTATGATCTTAAGTAATAGAACATGATTCAAGAAGTTGATAACTTTGTATTAAAAGAATTTTTTGATGTTTCAATATACTTGTTGCAATGATGAAAACCTAAGGAAAAATTAGAGTTTAAAAATGTATTACATAATATTTTCTAATGATTAATGTAATCCTTTTTATATAAACATTTTACTTTTCTACTTTGAAATACTTAATCTTTTCTTCAAAATATTTGGGGCCTCACGAAAAGAGTTATGGTGGGATGGATAGCATATCTCCTTCTTTAATCGGAAGTATTCGGTTTCAGTATTTGAAACGAAAAAATTCCTTATAAGGAACTACACTGCATAAATTTGAATTAATTAATGTCCCAAATTAAATATCAGACATCAAATAAGAATTGGAAAACAAAAATTAGACCTCCCAAAATTCCGGGGCCTAAAGCCACTGCTTTAGTGGCTTTACCCTCTGGCCGCCCTTGAATATTACGGTAATAACAACTTAGCAAGCAAATAATAATTAATATCATTATCACAAAAATATCATTTAATTTACAATTGTACTTAATGAGTTTTCATATTTTGAGCACGATCTATAATAGCTTCATTACTTACGAGTTTTCATGTGGTTGGAAGTTTATCAAGTTAACATTCAAGTACTCAAGCACATGTATATCAACTAGGGGTGTACAACCCGAACTGGAAAACCACACCAAACCGAAAAGTCAAATCAAATTGATTAAAAAAATCCGACTAGGTTTGGTTTGGTATTGAGTAAAAAAAACTCGAACCAAACCGACATATAAATATATAATTTTTATACGTACTTTTAAGATTTTATATAGAATTTTCTTTAAAAAATGTCTAGAAATAGATGGGTTTCTCTTGCGGAATATAATATTTAATAAAATATAAAGTGTTCCATATTTATTCACCTTAAATAATGGGTAGTATGATCACTTTCTTATATTGAAATGCATCAATCTCTTTGGTCTTCCATATTCATATATGAAGATCTATTAAATTCTGATTTTCTTTTTCGAATTTGAAATGGTTATTATTATTTAGGTATCATATTGATTTTTATGTTTAATTACCAAATTCGGTTAACCTTGAAAGTGTACATCGAAAAATTATTGCCAGACGACTAAAAAAATAACTATCATGTGTTACTAAGTAAATTCTCCGATAATAGATAATATGTTTGTCAATTTTTAAAATTTTTACCAAACATATATTTACTATAAAAAATTTAACAAAGTAAGATTGAAATAATATTTAAGTAGCAAAAAACCCGAAAAACCCCGCCAAAACCGAACCAATCCAAACCGATATAGTTGATTTTGTTTGGTTTTGATCAAAACCAAACCAACCTGGTCCATGTACACCCCTAAATTATCAACTATGAAGCATATATGTTCATACCTAACATCAGAAATGAATGTTGTCAAGTTAGCCATAGCTTTAGAACTAGCCACCTTGCCCATTGTCATCTCATTTAGTCTAGCAATTCTTTCACTCATTTCATCATCCTCCATGACCCTTTTTAATCCTTCCTCCAAATCTTGCACTCCAAAATCATTAATCCTGACGCCGATTCGCCAGTTTTTAACAATATAACCACAATTAGCAAATTGGTCACCTGCAATTGGATAGCACAAAAGGCGTTTCTTAGATTGTATTG